ATAATTAACAATTATTCCACGAGCGCGCGTTGGATATGAGATGATAGATAGCCAACGAGGCGCGTAGCGCCGAGTTGGCTATAATCATCTCATATCCAACAAGCGCGAGTGGAATAATTGTTTTATTAAAAACGTTAAATTAAATTATTAAATTTTATTCAATTTTTAGCTCCCGTTTAATTTTAAGCTGATATGTCCGCTTACCATATTTGTAGATTATGGTATATTGGCTGATATACCATCATGGCTAAGCCAATAAAAATTCTTGAATTGCATTATCCAATGATCTAGTTTTTAATAATAAATATTATCGCGCGATAATAAAATTATCACGCGATAATAATAAATATTATCGCGCGATAATAAGTATTATCGCGCGATAATAATAAAAATCATCGCGCGATAATTTCCATTTATCGCGCGATAATCTTCATTTATCGCGCGATAATTTTTCATTTATCGCGCGATAATTTCCATTTATCGCGTGATAATTTCTATTTATCGTGCGATAATCTATCATTTATCGCGCGATAAAAAAAGGCGTCATGTTCCCTATGGGCCACCATAAGTATGTAATCATACACTCGAGGTTAATTATTAACAATTTTAAAATTAAGATAACTTCCAGTGGATGTATTCCAATCAAAAATCTACGATCGACGACAATACTTATGTTTAAAAAAACTCTCAGCTTGGAACGAACTGACTCAATGAACTGAAAAGTAAAGTTAAAGCCTTTGTTTGGTTCGTTAGATGACATGATAATGCGAAATTTCTCAGAAATGGCAACACGGCTGGGTGTACTTCCGAGAACACCTTCCCACAGCGCATCCGGCTACTTGATGCTTTTTTTTTCCTGGTATAATTTTCAAGTTTGTGACCAACTGAAGTGGATCATGTTAATCGAATGATGGAAGCGTCTAACGTTTTTCTGATCATAACTGCCAAACTAGCATTATAGCGTGCTCATCTCGATAAACTGCGTTTACGCTAGATTTATTGAGCAAGAGTTGTTCGATTGAAGCACGGTGTTTTCCTTCCAAATAAATACAACGATCCAAAATTCCTTGGTAAAGGAAAGAGTTGCTCCGATAACTTAGTTGAAAGAAATTTATAATGCCGTCGAGGTTGACTACGACAAAAAACTTAAGATAGTATACTGAGGTGGATGAAATGGGTCGCTCCCTTATGAAGTTAATCAAATTAGTATTCCATGATCAACTGTACAAATGTGAATGGTATGTAAATTGAAAGGGAAAGGTTCCCATTTGCTTGGCCTAATAGTTAAGCCTAATATAACTCTTACCTCCGAGCGGACAAGCTTACTGTATTGAAATAGAAGATTGGAAGCTTTAATTTGTCAATTTAGCTCGGTTAAACGACACTTAAAAATAGTAACTAAACTCCAAGAAATGGCGACACGCTTGAGTGGATTTCTGAGAACAGCTTTCCATTGGGCATATGGTATTTCGTGAACTGGACTGGACTGGACTGGACTGGACTGGACTGGACTAGTAAAACGCGGACTAGTAAAGCGCGGACTAGTAAAACGCGGACTAGTAAAACGCGGACTAGTAAAACGCGGACTAGTAAAACGCGGACTAGTAAAACGCGGACTAGTAAAACGCGGACTAGTAAAACGCGGACTAGTAAAACGCGGACTAGTAAAACGCGGACTAGTAAAACGCGGACTAGTAAAACGCGAACTAGTAAAACGCGGACTAGTAAAACGCGGACTAGTAAAACGCGGACTAGTAAAACGCGGACTAGAAAAACGC